AATTTGTAGTATTAGTAGAAAAATTTGGGATGTTACACCCACGTTGGGCGCGGGTTAGGTTACGCCGGGTGCGTGAGACTCCCTTGAGTCTCTGCCTGGGCTTGCGCTGGGCGCAATTGAATATTGTGCCAGGCGCGTGAGAGCCTTGGGGTCTCTGGCTGAGGCACGCTAGGCGCGAGTATGCTTGCGCCGGGCACGCTGGTCCCCTGGTGACCTCTGGATGTGCCACGCCGGGCGCAACCATGGGTACGCCGGGCGTGCTGGAAGGTGTTAACTTGATGTGCAATTTAACTGATAGACTTTGCTGAAATTGTTGAAAGAAGTTGTTTTAAGCTGAATTTCATGTTATGCTGTGCTGAGTTGGCTGTTATTGATAAGTTTAAATGTTTTATTATATGTTATTGCTATGCTCTAGAATGATGAGCTGAGGTGTGAATAGTGAGCTATGTTGAATACTACTAGCTATGTTGTATGCTGATGTATTGTGTTGTTTGATTTCTGAGCTGTATGTTGTTATAGCCGATATGTCGGTGTCGTTAGCCACTATTACGGTGCTGTTATAACCACTATTGTGGTGTTGTTATAGCTGCTATGGCGATGGTGTTAGCGACTATGGTGGTGGTGTTATAGCCGCTGAGCGGTGTTGATATAGTTGAATTGTTGTGGTGTAGTGTAAGTTGTGCGGATGTGCTGATAGCTGTAGATGTTTCTATTTGTATATTTATATATGTATGTTGATTTCTTTACACTAGCTTACCCTTTTGTGTCTCCATGATGTTTGGACTGCAATGATCATACTATGTATGGGAGCAGAGCAGGAATAGGTCGGTGGCTGGTAGTTGGGCTGTAGCTGACAGTTAGAGCTGATCCTCTTGGGATGTTTGTATTTTGTTGTTTAGCTACTCGGTGTGGCAATTGATTGATGTATCTTTTTGTACACTTTAACTCTAGTCAGACTGGAACTTTGTATATCTATATATTCTAGATCCTATATTTATATACTTGTTCTATCTGTCTGGTGTTTCTAGTGTACTGTGTCGTGTGTAGTGACCAGCTGGGTCGTTACACTTTAGTGGTATCAGAGCAAGGTCGAGTCTAGTGGACACTCTTTAGGGGTGGTCCCTTTAGGCTTTCGTGGTGTTGGCTCTGTGTTGTATTGTCTTGCTATGATGTTTGCTGTGCTGAATTTGCTGTGATGATTTGTTGTGCTGATAAATTGTTGATTGGTTTAGTTATTATGTACTAAAGATGCTGTTACTTTTGTAGACGATGACTAGGACCAACAAGCAGATAGCCCGTGCCATAGAGATGATGGCTATGGCTATGCAACAGCAAAATGCCTATTTTGCTAGGATGGAGGCTGAGAGAGTTGCAACTGGTGCAGCAAGACCTACAGGATCACAGGAAAGTCGGGATCTTGCTGAGTTCCGGAAGTGTAATCCTCCACAGTTTGCAGGAGATTCAGATCCAGAGGTAGCTGACCGCTGGATCTGTGAGCTAGAGAAGATCTTTACTGTCCTGGGATGTCCTCCAGAGAGGAGGTTAGCATATGCTGTGTATATGTTTGTTGGGGAGGCTGAACATTGGTGGAGAGGCACCTATCAGATGCTTACTGCCAGAGGAGTTACAGTTGACTAGGAATGCTTCAGGACGGTGTTCATGGAGAAGTACTTCCCTGAGACCGTGAGGCACGTTAAGGAGGCTGAGTTTATGAGGTTACACCAGGGAGGGATGACAGTTTCTGAGTATGCGATGAAATTCGAGCACCTGGCTCGTTTTTATTAGCACGATATAGCTGAGGCCTGGAAATGCAGGAAGTTTGCTGATGGCTTGAGATATGAGCTGAAGAGGGTGGTGGTGCCTATGGCCATCACTAAGTTTCCAGCCTTAGTGGAGAAGGCAAAAGTGGTGGAGCGGTTGGAGGGTGGCAACCGGGTTGTGAGGACTGCTAGGGGGCCATCTGGGTCCAAGAAGGGCGAGAGTCAGAGGAAGCCGTATGATAGGCCCCAATCACAGCAAGGGGGTCCTGTCAGTAGGCAATCTTTTACTACTGCTAGTGGAGGTAGACAGAGTGGAGGTGCCACTCTGAGATGTTTCAGGTGTGTTGGGCCCCACTTTGTCAGGGACTGTCCGCACACAGAGAGTCGTTGCTTCAGATGTCATCAGATGGGCCACGAGTCAGCCAACTGCCCTGCTAGAAGCAGACTAGAGAGGAGTACTCCGAGGGGTGATGTACAGAGGGCTGATACTCAGAGGAGTAGCGCACAGAGAGCTGATACTTAGAGGGGTGACAGACCCACTACTGCTGTAGGGTATTTGCCTTGACAGGTGCTGAGACTTCGACTTCTTCTGATCTTATGAAGGGGAAGGGCAAAGCTGCTGGTAAGGATGTGATGACTCTCTTTGACTATGGTGCTACGCATTCCTTTATATCTTATGCATGTGCTGCTATGTTGGGTGTGCCTGTGTGTGATTTGGGGTTGAGACTGCTTGTGTCGACGCCCGCTTCTGCTTCTGTGATTGCTTCTGAATTGTGTGTGGGTTGCCCGGTTGTGGTGAATGAGAAGAAGTACAAGGTGAACCTAATTTGTTTACCTTTGGTGGATATTGACATAATCTTGGGAATGGATTGGTTATCTGCCAATCGCATTCTAATAGATTGTGCCAATAGGCGGTTGATCTTTCCTCAGGAGGAGGATAAGCTGTTGATCTCAGCTGGCCAGGCTGAGTCATTGTTGAGAGATGGAGCAGAGTGCTGTCTTCTGCTTACTGCAATGAGTGTGGAGACCGAGAGTGTCTTAGCTGATATCGATATGGTGAGGGAGTATACCGAGGTGTTCCCGGATGAGGTGACTGGGTTGCCTCCTGTTAGGGAGATGGAGTTCAGCATTGACTTGGTTCCAGGTGCGGGACCAGTGTCAGTGGCTCCCTATAGGATGGCTCCTGCTGAGCTGGCTGAGCTGAAAGGTCAGTTAGAGGACTTATTGGAAAAGCAGTTGGTGAGACCGAGCGTTTCACCGTGGGGTGCTCCGGTGTTATTAGTAAGGAAGAAGGATGGAGGTAGTCGACTGTGTGTTGATTACCGGTAGCTGAACAAGTTAACAATTAAGAACAAATATCCACTTCCCCGGATAGATGACTTAATTTGGGATGTTTGTATTTTGTTGTTTAGCTACTCGGTGTGGCAATTGATTGATGTATCTCTTTGTACACTTTAACTCTAGTCAGACTGGAACTTTGTATATCTATATATTCTAGATCCTATATTTATATATTTGTTCTATCTGTCTGGTGTTTCTAGTTTACTGTACCGTGTGTAGTGACCAGCTGGGTCGTTACATATATCATTAACCATTTGTTTATATCATGTTGGATAATTGGAAGAGGAAAGTTTGATGGGCAATTGAGTAGTTGTGTTAAATTTTACTATGTCCTTAGGGTCATAGAATTGAGTCGAGATGGTATTATTTTTGGATGTGGTCATTGGATCGATTGAAAAGCTAGTTAAGTAATAGGCTTAATTTGATATCATATAGGTAAATTGAGATTGATGATTTTATTTATAAGAAATATGTTCAAGCAGTGACTATATATAGAGGAACCTATACTAATAAAGTGAATTTGTCCATAATATTAATATGATCTTATCTTAACAAACTAATGTATCAACAAAAACATAACTTCAGTTTTCTTAACAAATTGACAATGGCTAAAACATAACTAATGATAAGATCAAGTGGACGTGAATACTCGTACAATTGAAGTGGATGTTAATACTCTTGCAATTACAATTGATTCATTAATTGGTTTAGAGCTACAATATTAAATGTGGGAAGTAGAAGTCATGAACAAATTCAAATTTACTGTTTTTTGACACCAAAATTCAAATTTACTGTTTTTTGACACCAAAATTCAACTTATGACTTTAAATTTCTAGTCTGTTGACCATAAATTTCAATCTATGACCATTTATTCGCACCTAATCTCGTCCAAATATTTTCTTTCCAATTTTAAATCCTAATAGTGGAAATGGGAATTCTTCGTCGTATTTTATGTTAGCCTAAAAGATATAATTAAGAGAAGAGCTATAAGTCTACGACTATAAAAAATATAATAATAAAATAAAATTAAACGTTGAAATATTTCATACACACCTTAACAAAAGGGAAGGTACAAAGCTTTGTAGAGTTAGAAAAAACGGCCCGATTATTCTGGCAATCTACGTGGCTAGCTCTATAAGAAGCGAAGATAGTGCCTCACACACACACACTATCTATATATATATATATATATATATATTTATATATATTACTTCTCACAGAAGAAATTTTCTTATTTCAAAAGTAAATTTATTTAAATTTATTTAACATAATAACTATATTTTAAATCACATTTTAATATTTTAATTGTTGAATTAAATTAATTAAACTTTTTTAATATATAGATC